GGTATCAAAGGGTTACAATAACATCAAAAGTTGTTTTTTCCGCAATTAAAAAATAAAACATAACATATCATGAATGGACCGTTATAACAGATTTACAATGGAATCATTATATCAATTGTATAATTTTATGCGATTCATTTGATTTGTTACGCATATCATGGCAGTTCATAAAATAATAATTCTACGCTGCCACCTTAAACCACCCACCATGTTACTCATAGATTTAAAATAATATTACTTAACTGACCATGTATTTTCATCTAAACTAAACCTTAAGCAAAATTTCAATTAATCAGGTCAGGATAACTGCTTAAAAATTCAGTTCCAAGATTTGACAAATATCAAATCTGCGTCTGTCGATAATAATAACTTGTTTATATAAAAATTATTCATGAAGCTAAAGATTTGCAACAACAGAATGAACTACCTTGGTATAGCGTCGATCGGCATATTGGTGGGTTTCACTGGCCCACCGCGTTCCTCATCCCGAATCTTTATGGTGATCTAGTATTTTAAACAAAATTTATATAACAGAATTTATCCGTTAAAAGTTGAAGGAAATAACTTTAAAGCAGATTTGTCCTCATTTTATATCAAGGCCTTTAATTTGATAAACATAAATATAAAAAAGAAAGAAAAAAAACTTTTCTTTTCTTCATTGATTTATACTTTATTATAAACATGAAAGATTTAATTTATAATATGTAATAATATCAATTTATTCATAAAATTAACAAGCTCCAATGGTTATGGTCACTTAACATTAATTATATTTTGTCACTCCATTCTTTAGATATTAGATAACAACTAAACCACCCTCGCACGCTTTGGAGATTAGTATTTTTTTTATCTACCAACTGGCACCCGCTATTGGAAGTGTCATTCCTTATCTGTGCGAGGCAAAAAGTGCATGCGCTCTCCGCTTAAAATTGATAAATTCTACAACTTTTAAATAATAACTCCGAAACAAAGTGCCGAGGAAAATAGATGCGATATCGAAAGAAACTTCGGAAACTCGAAGAACGATGTTCGCTGAAGTATTCCGATGAATAGATCACGATCTTTTTTCGGAATCCGACTCAGATAGGTAATCATAATTCTGGTGAAGCGCCTCTATTTTAAAATACAAATATCAGTTTTAAAAGTGTTAACATACATTGTTATTACGAATTTTTAATATGGTTATAAACCTATTTCATAAAGTATCCTGGGGGTTGGCTGTGAGTCAACACGATGGTTTATAGCGTAAATAGAAAATGACTAGTTAATAGATTCCGCAAATTGTACATGAACCTGGGGGTTAGCAGTGAGCCAACACGACGGTATATAGTGGAAAAATTAATATTGCTGTAAGGAGAATGTTATTATTATTATTATTATTTAATACTTTATGCACTACAGTACAAAGGCGGACTTAATGCCTTAGGCATTCTCTGCCAGTCAACCTTTAGGTGATGTGGAGACTATATATAAAGTAAAGGTAGGCGCATACCATAATATATACCTAATGTTATTTTTATTCTGTAAACTAAACATTAACCCGGGGGTTAATCGAGAGTAAAATATTATTGGGGTTAGAAAAACATAAAAATTATATGTAGTTACAGATGAAACTTTAAAAGTATTTTTATACATTTATTCATAACAAGTACATATATAAAAATATTTATTTTCTCTTTATTGTTTGTAGACCCAGACGATGCTGAAGTACTCTACCCCGAAATATGTGAGAAAATATGTGCAAATACTGAAAGTTTACTGGAGCAATCGCTGGCCGCAGAAATGGTCACTGAATCTTAAACGATGGAAATGGTCACCGTATCTCAAACTTCAGAACTGGACCACTAAATATTGTCAGCCCGAGGCGAATCTAATAATGACATGCCGTTATTCGAATCTCCAATACATGGCGATTTGGCAGAGATGGGGCCCTAAAGTAAAAGTAGGCATCACAAAGGAAGTTAAAGAAACATTATTCAAATCTTATCTTACTCCGGAAAATTGCCCTTTTCTGCATGCACCTAAATTAATTGCTGTGATCTCTTCAGCAATTACTAATATGGTTCGGAACCGAGATAAAAAAATTGCGAAGGAGCCAACAACAGCTTGGTTGCGATATCAAAGTTTTGGGGCTTGCGTCTTCTACTTACAGACGATGACAAAATCTAAACTATTAAATTACTCAGCGATGGTTGCTGTATATTAACGTACCTACATAAACTCGCAGGGTCATTCAAAACCACTTACATTATATAAGTTGTTCCTAAATATTATAACAGATACTGCGAGACACGATAAAGGTGTCAAGAGTCATTGAAAGAGAAGGATTGCAGATAAAAATGACCGTGACAGCTTGAAAGACAATAAAATCAATTCAGTCGACGGAAACAAGGCTACCAGGAAAACAGGGCTGGTAAACCTAATGCTATCCCTATCCGTCGAACAGGGTGGGGCGAGGGTGGCCCTAGAAGCCGAACTTTGCAGTTCGCCGTCCTCCAGTACCACTTCAAAATAGACAAGCGCACCCAAGCGACCCACGTGCTGCTCAACAGTAAGTAAGGTTCAAGTTCATGCTGGACGATTACAATACTTTTATAGTTGTTGGTATAATGTCACTAGTAATATAACTTTTTTAGATTAGATCCGATATGGTTGTTTACAAAGTTGTTTACCCTTGAAGCAAATATTGATAGTTGATAAAGAGAATACGTCCTTAGCTATAAATGATATTTTGTAATTAGGGACAATCAAAACTTGTTCCTTCAAAAGTGATTAATTTTTATCAAGTATTTCCCCGATTTATCCTTAATCTTTAATTGCAAAAACGTCATTTTTAAATGGAAGATTTAAGAACGGTCTCTAAATTGACTTTATTAAATGGCCACAATTGGTTTTTTAAAGAAATATATTTAGTTATTCCCATTGTTTTAAAAGACCGTTGAATTACTTGCGTTTTTAATATAAATCTATTTAAAGTTGTAACCTACTTGTAATTTTCCGCCATGCCTTATGGCTTATCTATTGCGCCCAGAACATTCACAAAGGTGATTAAAGAAGTGGTTTTATATTTCAGATACCAACGTGTATCATTGTACTGATCTATAGATCAGTACAGTACCATGATGACATTTTATGTTTCGGCGATATTTATTAAATGTGCTATGAAAGGCATTCTGGTAAACTATAAGAAAAATACTTTAGACCAAATCAAACTTATAAATTTTCAGGATTTGTTTTACCTTACTTTATCATTCTCTTTGGTTTCTTCGCGTTTAATCGAAAACTTTTCTCAATTTTATCGGCGTTCTTATTGCTACTTGTCCTGTTCTAAAATACGGATGGTTTTACACAAAGATTTTTGAAACACATAAGTACTTATCTCTTTGATTGCACAACGATTACAATAGAAAAATTAAAATACCTGACGAAATTTTAGATTCTTTTAATCCAGCATCAAAAAACTCCTTATAAATCAATAAGCAGTCGCTGTAAAAATAAAGTTTGTAATACCCCTTTATAATCTTCATATCTTTATAATAAAATAAACGCAAATGTATCTATCTATAGTATGAATTACAACAAACGTAAAAAATATCCTTCGCTTATTTTTACACAGTAAATCTTACAATAAAAGACGATTCAGACGATTCTCTTAAAAGTTTATATAAAGGGGCATTTAAAACAAGACCATGTGTACCTAAATATACTAGCACATGGGACCCCAAGAAAGTTCCCAACACTGTGGTCAGAGTGGTTGCCCAATAAAATTCTTTCGATCGAAAAGATTCGACAAAATAATGAGTAATTTGCAAACTCTCTCGTTTATTAAAACATCTAACATTTTAATATCTGTTGTTAGTAACGGGGCTGAAATATTGATAATAAATATTATCAAAACATCAGCCCCAGGTTTGATTAATAAATTCCTTACTTTAAAATTCAAACCAGTATTTGTCTAGTTATGACTTTAGAAGATTATCTTTTTGTAATAAATTCTTGAAGGGCAGAAATTTTGTCTAGATTGTTTTTGACCTTTTGACGTCCATATAAATGTGCCAGTTTACAGTCACAAAGCCGCTGGATTAAAGATGTGTTTCCCCTAAGCGCCGAAGACGTTGTGGTGTTCAGAATTTACGTAAATTATTTATGAATGACACTTCCAATAGCGGAAGCCGGTGGTAGGTAGACAAAAAATCTCTAAAGCATGCGAGGGTGCGAGGGTTGCCTGGGAGGAAAAGGGACTAAGTTGTAAATGTTATATCTTCGAATGAAGCAACTCATTAATATTAATTGAACTTCACACAATGAAATTCGTTTGATATATAGAATAGTTTAAGCAGATGTGTCATTTCATCAAACATTTAATGTTATTTAATGCCTTACTAAGCACTGGCTTAGATAGGCAACATTTGTCTATAATTTTGTGTGTTTCAGTTCTTCTTTCTTTTGTATCTATAGCCTATTTGAGCTAACACAATTCCACGAATGTCACGTTAGTGGCTTTTACACGTAAAATTTAAAAATAAAATTTATAATTTTTAATCACATGTGGTATTTATACGAACATCCAAGACATCAATGTTGTCTATCAAGTCCAAAAATTCAAACAAAGTCATGGTTCAAATCTTACTTTTATATATGAATTGCATTGTGTATGAATATCTATTATTCCAATCAACTAAGTTGCTTAAGTCGCTAAATGGTTTCTAGTATATTATGAAAGCATTTTCACCTTAGTCAATGCCTAAATGATTAAGCGTCAGATTTGGGCGACTCCTAAGTTGATTAGAAAACGAGCAGTAGTATACATTGCTTTAAAAATTATGTCAGGTGATTATTTATATGCTTCGAATAGGTTCCGAAATTACTGGGCCGATTTTAAATATGCTATCTTCGGGAAATTATTTACATGATACTCGGGTGACATATGCTAACATAATCCCAGAACCACTCCGCCTCATCGGCCATCGATTCTTCTATTCTGTTATATTACCTAAGGACTAGAATAATTTTAATTTTCGAGCTATAATTACCTTGCCGATGTGTTTTCCAGCAGCCATGTATCGGAATGCGGACTCCACTTGATTCTTCTCAAACGTACAATAGGTTAGAGGACGCACGGCACCACTCTCGATACCAAATAGAAGGAGGTTTTGGAGTCTCTAAAAGACCATCAGAGTGAGTAAATAACATATCTGTTTAGCTATGGCTTATTTTATCACTATTAATTAACATTTGTGAAGTTGGTTATACCATCCTTTTAATCATCTTCAGGAGTCTATACGGAGTCAAACCCTCACTATCTATTTAACATTAAAGAATTCCTTTTTTGTCTACCAGCTTGAATCCCAAGAAAACCATGACTGAATCACAAGGGCACTGCCTCAGATATATTTTTTCTATTAATATTAATCTAACTAGACTATATACAAGTGCAATATTATTTTCTTTTGAAGTAAATAATGACTAATTATCATATAATTTATTGTACCGACCTGCTTTAAATCGTCACTTTGATCGAATATGTAGTTCAACATAATCCCGTGGAAGGAGATTTCCTTGCGGAAGCAGTACATGTTGATGGCTGTGTTGTTATTGATGTCAAATACGCCGATCTCCAAGAACCGGCCGCGGTAACAGAGGCAGCGCATTGATGCCTGGAGGTAAGTAAAAAAAAACTTTTGAGAGAGTCTGTAAATAGGTCAGTTGCAGATAGTTTTTCAAGAGAATTAATGACATTTTGTAATAAACATGATATTGGGAATTAACAAAACAAAGATCTATTGACACAAAATCTTATTCCAAGATAAGATGTTAAAAATGTATAAATCGTATATACTTTGTCATAAAACTATCATTTAACTATTTACTAATTACTTAAATAACAACAAGTGCATACCCAATTAAAATATTTTTAGGAATATTGAACTTACGATTTTTTCATTCTTTATAAAAGATGGTCAGTTGCTACAACCATTAAAAATTATATAGATAGATTTACTTATTACAAAATACAAAACAATTAAAACAAAAATCGACTGTAAAACCCATTGTGTAAATTTCAATTCAATGAAGTGTCAGTCTTACATGTAATTTCTCGTCGGAGAGGGAGTTGAGCACCATGTCTACTCCCTTGCCTTTAGTCTCGCGATGTATCATGTCTTCAAATGAGGTATCACGTGAGTTACCAATATGACTGTCTGTAGTTCAAAAATATAAGATTTTTTTATTCGATCTGTACGAAAAGTATTTTCTGTAAACTAAAATCTAAAGTACTTTGCGTTAGTTACACACTGTACCTATGACCTGGAGGATATCGTTGTCTTTAAAATTAATAGAGGTTACCTCCACTGATTCAGACTAGTGGGAAGAATTCTAAATGGAAAAAATGACAAACAAAAAAAAAAACATAACAAACATAAAAAACAAAAAAAACTTAATTCCATGAACATTTAAAATTTCCTTGTCAGATTTATACAAAATAATTAAAGTTTTTTTTTTAATACGAAAATCATTTAATTTACAGGATGCTTACGATAATTGATTACTTCGATTTCTTAGGAGATATCTATAGCCGAAGTCGCGGGAACATCTAATATATAATACGAGTTTGATATCTACGGTCTATGGTTACCTTTTAATTGGGGAAAAAGTTTCTTGATGAATGCCCTCTTTTCAGCGTTTCCTACAGTAGTGAACACCTCGCAACCGTAGTGAAGAGCTACATTGATAGCGGCCTGACCCACGCCCCCGGACCCAGCGTGGATCAGTATAGACTCTCCATGCTGTAGCTGCCCTATCATCACCTAGTACGATGTCATCCAAAAAACAAATTGGTCAAAATAATATTGGTCACACATATTAACATTGATCACAGCAAAATTTGGTAGCACTACAATTTCTGTAGCTGATCTACATTCAAAGTATTATTTCATCTCAAACATTCTTTTAATTTAATAGTCCTCGCTCACGTAGTTATTAAGGATGAATGACCGTTCCGTTTATTTTAAATATACCAAGACTGACTATTTTCTATGTATATTTAATGTAGTTAAATCGATGTTATTTACCATTGAATAATAAACAGTGCCATAAGCGACGGGTACTGTGGCTGCTTCCTCAAAGCTCCATTCCTCGGGGATGCACCACATGAAAGCCTTATTGCTCTCCACTACGTTGGCTAATCCTTGCCTAGGAACTATTGCCATAACGCGAGAGCCACTGGAAATAGTATAAGCATAATAATGATGTCAAGAAAAAAGTATTTGCAGTAGATGTCACTTAAACTACTTAACGATATTTGTAATTCGATAATTAGCTCCTAACTTAAAATAAATACCACAAACGTTTCAAGAAGTATAATAATCCTAGGGATTATGACACATTTTCGTTATTACGGCATCGTGCGAAATGTTTACTTAATGCTTGTTATAAAAAATATGTATTGTCAGTTGAGGATGCATTGGAGGTAAATATTAAATCGTTTTGGAACTTTGTGCGTTCTAAAAAAGGAAACAGTAAAGACATTCCTCAGACAATGACACTTGATGGGGTGTCCTCGTCTGATGGCAAAGGTGTATGCGAACTTTTTTCTAGATACTTTGCCTCAGTTTTCGAGAACCCTTTGCCGGTAACACCCTCTAATTGTGATGACGTGTCGCTTCTCTCTGGCTCATTGTCATTGACAAAAGTACAAGTGACTTCTGTCGACGTACTGAAAAAGTTGAAAAAGTTGGATATAAATAAGGGGGCTGGCCCTGATAAACTTCCTGCTATAATCTTCAAGGTATGTGCTAAACAGCTCAGCCTGCCTTTGTCTCTTATCATCAATTTATCTTTACGCCTTGGTACATTTCCCTGTGTTTGGAAGACTGCCCATATAATACCTATCCATAAGTGTGGCGATCTTAGTGATTGCAAAAACTATAGACCAATAAGTATCTTGTCATGTCCAGCGAAGATATTTGAGTCAATCATCTATGACTTTGTATACCACCACATCAAACCCTATTTATCGCCTAAACAGCATGGCTTCACAAAAGGTAGATCCACGGTTAGTAACCTTCTTGAGTACAGTCATTGTTTGTTTCAAGCATTTAATAATGGCGGTCAAATAGATGCTGTATACACAGATTTTAAAAAGGCATTCGACAAGGTTAGTCATTATTTACTTTGCCGAAAAATTTGTGAATTTGGTATTCATGGGTCACTTTTCCGCTGGATCCAATCGTATCTCTCTAACAGACACCAACTGGTCGCCATTAAAGGTTTTTTGTCGGATCTCGTAGAGATTATGTCTGGCGTTCCCCAGGGCTCCCATCTTGGCCCATTATTCTTCCTGATCTTTATTAATGATCTCGCTGAAAAACTATCTTGCCCGGGCTTACTGTACGCTGATGACCTCAAGGTTTTTCAACAGATTAATTCTATTGATGACTGTATAAAACTACAGAAGGATATTGACTATATATCACAATGGTGTGCTCTAAACAGTATGTTTTTAAATATCAACAAATGCACTGTCATATCTTTCACAAACAAGCGTAACAAATGTATCTTCGATTATCAACTAGAAGCTACAGTCCTTAGACGCAGCGAAGCGGTTAGGGATCTTGGGGTAATTTTTGATGACAAACTTACATTCAGGGCCCATTATGATTGCTTATCTACCAGTGCAATGCGAACTTTAGGTTTTATCTATAGAATTACTAAAGACTTTTATAAGGCAAAAAGCTTAATTCTATTATACTATTCCCTAGTCAGAAGTAAAATCGAATACTGCTCGACGATTTGGAATCCTTTCTACAATAATCACTCTATGGCAATTGAGAGAATCCAAAGGAAATTCACAAAACTATTAAGTATAAAGTTCGGTACCAGCCGTGGTTTGATGTCATATGAGGACAGATTGAGTAAATTCAATATTACATCTCTTAACACACGTCGTTATCAACATGATTTAATAACACTTCATAAATTAGTTCATTCCGTAATTGACTCAGAATATCTTCTTTCATCTATTAACATTAATTTCAAATATAATCCAAGGCGCAGGCAACCAACTTTTGTTATACCGACATATAGAAATAACATATCTTATCATAATCCCATCGCTCGTATGTGCAGAAATTATAATGAGATCCTCCCAGTTAATCAGGCATTAGACATATTTAATGCCAATCTCTTTAAATTCAAAAAATGTATTGGGAAAGTTGTGGTAGACCTAAATGTCGAATCTTTTTAACCCTCCAGATTGATTTATACTCATTATTTCTGTTTTCTTTCATATTAGTAAAAATAATAATAATAGTTTGTTTTTTTTTCTTTATCATATCTCATTGTGTAAACACCTTTAGGATATTAATTTAGTACTACACAGTTTTTACTTATTATATAATTTATATTTTGATTAATGTATGTTGTGTTACCTAATAAATAAATAAAATAAAATAAAACTTACTTGGGTGTCCTGCCGGCTACTTCGAATCCTTGTACACATTCCTGGGCAAGTCTGCCGCGAGCCACCGCGTCCACAGTCACACGACCCGTCGCCATCATCACGTCACGGAAGTTTAATGCGGAAGAATATACCTATATTAATTACGTGCTAAACATTAGCTACCTGTTCTTTATGTAAATCAGTGCAAAAAATTTCCGAGATTAATAGGGTCTTGTCGATGTAATGCATTGTTTTACATGTAATTATACGATCAATTTTAGAAGTCATTAAAAATGAATGCAATTAAAACTAAAAAATATTAAACAGTAACATATTGATCTATTCAATTAAGTAAAATATTTGTTATATTTATCTCCAATGCAAATTCCTATCATCGGTAGCTCGATTTTAACTCACATGTATCATAACGCTATCTGGGTTCTTGAAAACTTGACCAGGTTTAATTGGTCCTTCGAGCCACCTTAGAGAGGAGAGATCGCCGATAGTGGTAGTGTTGATGAAAGCATGATAGACTCGTACTATGTCTAAATCACCGAGTAAAAGATGACGGTATGTTCCCCACTGACCCTGAAAGAGGCATTTATAATTGATAATATAACGTCTAATCACATTAGTGATAGAAAACGTATTAGCTAAAGAGGAAATGACATTTAATTATTTCAGTACATAACCAATCCTAATAATATTAAAAATTTAAAAGTGGAAACTACACCAATGACTGTCATCCAAAAATTTATAGCAACAACGTAACCAGCAGAAACAAGTGGTGATACTTTACAGACTTATAAATAACTTACATCTTGAAAAATATTGATGGACAAGTCTTTATTTAACTGTTTCTCATATATTTCCAAATCTGGATTGAAGAGTGGTGCTGAGGAATCAGCGATAAGCATACCGCATACAATTTCTCCGCCAGGTTCTCGTCTCAAACAGTTCACAAGACCTAATAGACCATTTATGTGCTCCTTTTCAGAGTAAAGAACAACCTTTTCACTTTTTATAAGCACTTCTTTAACTTTGTCTATCCATGAGAAGGAGAGGTCATCTGCCGTGATCTTGACAAATTTAGCAGGTTTCGTTTTCACTTTCTTCCTCAAAAGAATAATGTATTCCATGCCAGTGTCATGAATAGAGACGATGTCATATTTATCAGAGCAAGGATTTGGGTCCGGTCGCTCCTTTTCTCTACTAATGATAAAACATTTTTCACGTAGTGTTGTTATACCTTTTTGAAGAACCTGCAGTCGTATACAACCAAAACTGAATTCCTTACAATTGCAAATACTAAGGAAAAATTGTTTATTAGTATAAAAATGTGATTGGCCGTAATTGTAAGCATAATACAAAGAGAAAAAAATAAACAACTTATAATTATACACTTACATTATCTCTTTTTAGAAGATTGGCTCCGATAAATATAACGGCGTTTGATTCTCCCGAGAGCGATTTGTTTTCAACAGTGATATTAGTAGACAGATTTTCATACGTTTTTTCAGAAATAACTAACAAGTCTGCTTGTGTCAGCGGCATGTCTTCCAACACTTCCGCCACTGTCGTGATGATTGGTTCCAGGTTATTTTTTTTATATTCTTCATCTACGTACTCAATGGTTTTCACTTTGAAAGTTTGTATGTTCTCCAGTACAAGTTGTAGATTTGCTCGGATAGCATCTTCTATCTATATTGAAAAATATCGGTGCTTCAATGCAAATACTGATTAGGAATAAAATTATGTTTTGGTAGTAAAATAATTTTATACTTTTCATTTCTAAAGCCTAGACTGCAGGCATCAGCCGTGTTGGTCTCATTATCTTACAGTAGCTAGTCGATTAATACTTATTAACAGCTCTTATCCTATCTGCCTAATATAATAAAGACTTAAGTTTTTTGGTTTCAATATCTGTTACTTCTTTATGCAAAAACTACTGAATGGATTTCGATGCAAATTATTATACAGATAATTCTTAGCCTGGATTAAGATACAGGTCTCCTTATAGTTTTCGCTACTGGGAAATTAATACCGGTCAATTGTGACATCTCTACTTCATGATGATTATAGGCTCAGGTACTCTAATATTGCAACAACACCATGCCAATAAAATAATAACATTATTATCATAATTTTATAATGACTAAAGTTAACAAGATGCTCCATTTTTGTGAATATGTTCGTTAGGTATAATAAAAATATATATATCTATTACCTTCATTTTACTTTTTCCAAAATTAGGTACGAAAACATGTTTTTCAAGAACTGGTACATCGAGTTTATTTCTCTTCGACATAGGAGTAACATATAAGCCACGTATTTCTACACCTCCAGCGCTGTTTCAATAAATATAAAATATTTATGCTTACAAATTTTTATCATATATTATTTTTAACAGACCTTAAGATCGAAAAGGATATTCGAAGGGTACATTTTTAAGGTATGTCCATAAATTACCCATGGTGATCCCATTTCATTTTGTCGAACTCGAATTAGCAGTTTTGTTTTTACGAGTATTACAAAATAACTCGAAGCACTCTCTTAAATAACAGTATTATGCTGGACTACTAGACTAGACGGGGTTTGAGAGACGTACGTAGTTTGAAGTATTTTGTTAGTTTAAAAAATATTAGTAACTACAACATTATTATTCAATAGGAAATAGGTTAAAAACAAAAACATTATGAATACATTCCATTCTTCACTCAAATATATCACTTACCAAATAACATTCACATTCGGATAGACGCGGACTTCAAAGGAATGTTTGCTAGAGTCGGCACACATCTTTGAGATAGCATTATAATGCACGTTAGTGTCGATCGACAGTTTCTTTATTCTAGTGGGGACGAACAGGCCCCTAGTGTCTTGGCCAATGACCTTGAGCTGTAGCATACAGTCCATGAAAGTGACCCAGTTATTGACCCACGTGAGGCGGCCTCTGGTTCCTTCAATGTTGCAACCAATCACACCACGGAAGAGTCCACTGTGTCATATATAAATGTTGATTAGGTGAAAAAAAAATAAAAAAAATTCGAAACTCACAATTTGAAACTTCAACGGCCGGTTTCTGAATTGAGAAAAGTACAAAATTTCAACTGATTATTCTCACTAACGTCAGTTTTCTACGTTTCACATGGCAAAAAGTGTTTTTTTACCAACTACTGTCAACTGATCATTAAATAAATTAAAATCAGAAACAGAAACTTGTTGAAAGGACGTTTAAGATGGTTTGAGTATGATATATTGCGAGACAGTGTTATTTGCTGATGACACCTCTTTAGTGTTTAAAGTTAAGAGGGGTAATGATTGTTTTGACGATGTAAATGATGCTCTCGACAATGTTCTACAGTGGTTTGACAGTAATAATTTAAATCTTAATTCAAATAAAACAAAATGCATAAAGGAATTTTTACAAATATTTAAACTTCCAATAAAGATTTAGCATTCGTCAAATCATCTGCTTGTGACATTTATAATAGCCTTTTTTAACTCTTGCCTCTGCTTAGCTTAATACAGTTGGAACACTCGAAGACGACATTCAATGCGTGGTGTCTTTTGGCACAACGACGCATTTCAGACTTTTCCGCAATGCTTTAACAAATTTCCTTTTTCAAAAGGATGAATAAATCTTTTTTTTCTTTAAAACTCTTTTTTTTCTTCTTAAGTTAATATCTTTGCATTCTTGCACTATGAACTTTCATGGATGCTTTTGTCACACCAAATACAATAGGGATGATGACTGGGTAAATAAAATGAAATTCTATTTAGTCCGTCAGTCAGATAATAGAATAATATTAGATACGGATTTTTCTTACTTCAAATTAACAAGAAAAAGCTTAGATAACGAGCATTAAAGTTGAGGAGTGGGGGCTCGCTACGTCACAGTTGAGTAGAAAACGTACTCTAATGTGACGTCATGCGAAATTTCAACTCCATGTAACGCCGTAATTTTAAGATTACGAAAAAAATAAAAAAATACGTGTTTAATATTTTTTAACACTCTAACTGACGGACAAACAAACAAAAATTAGTCATCATCCCTATTGTCTCTTTTTTCTGTTCACTTTGTTTGAAGATGATGTTAATAAACAAGTTGCAGTAAAAAAATAAACAGTGCCCTTCTTTTAGATCTTTATGAGCTATTGTAATTATATTCTTTCCTCAGATTCGACTACTACTTCTTTTTCTTCTTTTATTAATGGCTTGGTATTTCGCATAATTTTGCTAATTTCAAGTGAGCTAATGTGTACGTCATTATTTTATCATATAGGTGCTTAGTAGAAAATTTTGAAACATTTTTCGATACGATATAGTCGTTAGTTTCTCTTTGATCCCAAGTGTAATTGTCTATGATCATGTCATTTCCAAAACCAAAACATGGCCAAGAAGCTCTGACGACTACATATGCCATCGTTGGATGTCATGTTACTGATGTTAACTCTATAATTAAGGAAATTCAAGATGTTTTTTGAACTCACTCGATTTTGTTAACGTGAATGTTATAACAGGAATTCCGAACAGTACTACAGAAATCAAGGATAGAGCGAACGTAAGAAATATAAATTATATTTAGCGTGCCTGTATTTTTAAAAGGTTTGCTAATCCTAAGAACAAAACTCAACCTATTTATTACAGCATTATATTATTACAACCTATATACGAGTACAACTACGAATACATTTTTATTGAATGCAAAACCAATAGCAATATTTGTCGTTTAAATTAATAAAAAAAAATAATTTTGTTTCTCATTCTTTAAAATAAGGTTTAATTCACAACAAAAAATAAAAGAAATAATAAAACAAAATTCATTCAGTCATATCTTTGTCCTCACCTATATTGATAGCCTCTCAGTCTTAGTTCCTTATAGAAGTCGTTGGCGAGCATATGTTTGCCTCCTGTAGCATTGGACACTGGTGGCGGCAGTAAGCGATAGTTTTGAGCCACATTTTTCTTTGGATAGATGCGACCAGTGACAATGGAGGCTCCGCTCTCTACAATCTAAGACCAATATTTGTTAAGTTAATAGTGTTTGATACTGGAGGCATTAAAGTTGACATATGACGACATAATATGGAACATTTTACTACCTTCTAAACAACTTTGTTTTTAAATATTCATGTAATGCAGAAAGGTTTTAAAAGAAGGCCGAGAAATAATTTGATGTAAGTATAAATAATAGGATTTTTTACCCGTGTAGAGAAGTATAGGTACGCGATACGAGGTGAGTTAATAAAGCTCATTTACATGAATGTTTAGTAAAATTTAATCTCTACTAATCCATAAGATTTCTCCTTTCGAAAATAAATATCATTTTAGCTTAAAAAATATTTATTTATGACCTACGACTGCTCTTCCGCTTTCTCTTTGATATACAGTTACTTTGAAAGGCTAATTAAAAAGATTTTTGTTTCTTATTCATGCTTACTTCAAAATTTCCACTTCCCCTCTGAATCATCACGATAAATTCCGAATTTCCATTCACGGGGATATTGGTAGCCCTCTGGAAGCGAACGTTCTCAAATACAACGGAGACTTCAGTATACAGCTCTCCCATATTCATAGCCAAGGTCTCCCAAACTAAGACAAGGTAGCCGGTGGCAGGGTACAAATTTCGCTCTGAGGAGGAAAAACAATGAAATTATATGGTACATGTAATGACAGAAAATTTTATGCAATTGGATTATGATTCCGGAGATCTTAAAGTCTAGGATACTTATCAAAAGTCTATATAAAACTTACTTAACGAGTTTGTAAAATTTTATTTAAAGTTTATTATTAAGTATTTCTTCTTAATCTCATTTAAAAGTTATATATTATGAAATTGTCTATTCAGTTAATTCTTAATTAATTAACCTCCAATTACTTTGAGTATTACTACTTACAGAGTCGAGCATTACATAAGTGAGGAAGATGAGTCGAGCATTACATTGATAAATTAAGAAAACCGAATTACAAGAAAAAAGTGGTGTGTGCGCCAAAGGACACTTGGTCTCCGTAATGTAGCACTTTGAGTTATATATCATTTGAAAGATCTTATTCATACAAGCATTTCTTTGTATGACTACGATGATGAAATCTGCGTCAATAAAAAAATATAGGATGTCAAAATTCCATTTCGTCAATTTTAAAAATTACATGTATATTTCTTATATTGGATAAATTTCGCATTCACGATGTTATACTGAAAAATATTCTTATTGATAAATGCTTAAAAAATCCACTTGATCCCTGGCCTGGCACCCTGAGATGGGATTCGAACCCATGAGTTTCACAATCCGGGCGACTGCTCTAACCACTAAACTACCCAGGACCTAATAGGACTGACGAATCTTTCAAGATCATTTTGGACAAATAGTTAGCTTTCCGCATAAATGTACGTTTGTGGCTAAGAGAGACATTACAGTTGTGTCAAAAAGTATGAGTCGCTTGGAACGTTTTAAAAATCAATTATATAGTAAATGGTATCATTTGAAACATAATAGTAATCCCAATGATTTGTACAGAGATTTCTTTGCTGTTTATTGTACAGAATTCAATAAGGTTTCTGTGCCAAAAAAAAAATTGTATAAGTAATCCTATAAATTTTAGTGTATAGGCTACACCAGGAATCTACAAAAGCAGAAAAAGGCTCTATGAACTATATGATGAAAGTAATTATAACACAAGTGAGGACTTTAAAGAATATGTACGAAATCATTCTAAATTATTAAAAAAAGTATGTCGTTAAGCCAAATGTTATTATTTAAATGCAAAAATTAAAAATAGTAAAGATAAAGTTAAAATGACGTGGTATATCATAAATAGTGAAACTGGAAGAAAAAAATCCCAGAATATAAATTTTAATTTAAACATTGATATTAAAAAAGTGACATCAGATTTTGAAGTTGCTACAGTATTTGAAAATTTATTTACTGAAATTCCAGTCTTAATAACACAATCTTTGAATTCCTCTTCCACTGTTGCTGAATCTATTTTAAAGGCAAGTTTAAATAATTCTAATAGCCAATTTAAGTTTCAACACATTGATTTTAAAGATATAATAAAATCTTTTAATCAGCTAAAGAAAAAGAAAACCGCTAATTTATGGGGTAATTCCATTGAAGTTTCTAAATCGGTAATTGAGACAATAGCTCCAATCTTAGCTTATATATTTAATGAATGTACTGATTGTGGTATTTTTCCTGAGCTCATGAAATATAGTAAAATTATTCCTTT